GCAAAGTTTAAGTTGAGCCATAGCTGATCCAAATACTGAGCACTTTGTATTGTACCCCATTTCGCAGTAAAGTTTATCTATATGTCTGCCAGCTTGTCACAAGTCTTACCCCTCTCCTTCAAAAGTCTCTATAAATAAATTTTTCTTTGTGGTCCCTAATTGATGATAAGTATATTACAGCTCCTCAATTTTCCTCTCTCAAGACAAGGTTACTCTAAATTTAACAAAGTAATGGACTTGATAAAACTCAAACTATAACTCAGCTGCCGGCTGCTACTTGCAACCTTAATTTCTAGATATCAGTATACAATAATCAATATGTTATAAATAAGAACGCTAATGCTTAATTTTGCAGTGATCACCTTCCTCCTTTTCATTTGCAGACCAGACTGGAACCTCTATAGGTGTGTTTGCTTGTTTTGAGTGGGGATGGAAGAAAAGGAGTCATGCCGCATATCTGATTTATTAAATTGGATTTGTTCTGTTTATACATGAGTAGAACTACCTTGTTCTCTGAAAAAAAAAAATTTCTCGCATTTTTATCTGTGCTTTGCAGTCAAACTTCCTTGTGTCTTGGACAAGAAATATTATTTTCTTGAAAACAAAATCTTTGTTTCCAGCCTTCTGTAGTAGGTAAATATAACAGTGTAAGATGAGTGACAGTGTATTTCTCAAGTTATTTTTTGGAATGTGACAAAACGGAAGTGTCATAGTGTGATAAGGAGCCAACATATGATTGCTTGATAGAAAGCAAAAAATGCAGAATTGCATATATTTTCTCCTTTGTCAGCAGCATATGTTAGTGAAAAGTTCTTATAATTGTTAAGTTCTAAACCATCTTCAATTTAGTCAAGATTGACCTGTTATCACGTTTGTCATAAAAGTATTCTGAGATCAATGTCATATGACCCATTCATGTATTTGACCTTTTGAATTAGCAAGCCATAGTTGACAGAAACACAAAGGTTGAGGATAAAAAGAAATTCTTATATACAGTACTTGTTCTGCATCTTTTCGTTTCCTTTTCTCTCCAGCTGTTCTATCTATGCCGTGCTGGCAATTGAACACTTTCCTTCCCAAAATTAGGAAAGGCACACCAGTAAAAACGAATTTTTGCTCCTTAAATATCTCGTGCATCTTCCCCTAGTATTTTGTGACTTCTGTCCGAAGAAGGAGGTTTAAGCGTTAAATTAATCCGAATGATTCCACAATTGTGGTATCATCCAAGCCATGCCAGAGAACTTGAACCAGATAAACTAGTGAGAATGCACAATAGCGATAGAAAAGCTTTGTAATGCCAAAGAGCTATATCAATATATATATATATATATATACACACCGGTGTTCCCGAAACCTTTGACAGCTTTAAAGAAAGAAAACTTCGTCGTCAATCCTGTTTCAAATTCCGCAATAAGTTTATGCGCCTCATCAACAGAATTTACGTATCCTAAATTATCTGCATGTCTACCATCAATGGTTCGCGACTTAAAATTCTCGCTATGCTGTTTCTGTTTGTTCCTCAAGAATCATGGGATTTACAGCTTCGGATGTTCGGCTACATCACTTGCGGATTTCCGAGAATCTTCGGTTATGTTTTGCAAGTCATTAAATATTCCATCTTAGTCCCTCTCGACCGAGGTGGTTTTGGCGGATGGAATCTAATGCTAACCGTATAGAAGTCTATGGTGTGTACACAATCTACATGCAACTAAAGAGCTTCACACGGAGAGCTTAAATCGAGGGAAACGTGTTCTATTCATCGTTTATGGTAAGTATCAACTTATGCCTCGAACAGAGTTATTCCCGTGAATAAAGGGGTAAGTTTCTAAAGAAACTGTGGTGCTGCGTCGGTGGGAGAGTATAGCAGATAATTGAGTGTTAACAACTGGGTTGAAAAAGTAAATTAGCCACCGTAAAGGGTAAAAAAGCTGACGTTTCAAGCGTTAGATTTACTTTTTCAACCCAGTTGTTAACACTAAATTACCTGCCAGAGTTATTCCCGGTTCGAAGCTTCCTGAAAACCACGCGTAATTTAGGATCTAATTCATGTGCTAAGATGCCAACACCTTTTACATGTTGTCAGGAAAAATCCCGTCAGAGGTGAAAAGTACTGTAACTCAGCCAAACGACAATTCTTTTTTTCTTAACTTCCTACAAGGTAAGCCTGCCTAAGTGAATAGCTTTGTGAATATAAACTCAATTACCGGTAATGTGAATCTAAACGGCCTAGACTGCTTATAGGCAGGGTACACATTAGTATTTTTATTAGTATTTTTGAGCAATTTGTTCAGCATAGAAGTCACAAGACTAGGATGGAGGATTGATGCAGTACTAAGCCAGTTTGAAATTAAATTCATCCAATTTGGGGGGGGAATAAGAGTTTTGCAAATTTGCCATATGATACTCTCTTTCCTTCATTTTCCTGCAATTTGATTTGTTACTTTAAACAAGCCTTGAAATCTGATTGGTTGTTTTCTTTTTGGTGTAGCCTCCTCATTGGCTGGGGAAAAGATGCAATTTAAAGCAAAAAATGGTGGGATTCATTGCTAATAATAAATCGCACCAATTAGAGCCAATCAGGTTACAAGGACCACTAGTGATTTCAAAATGGGCGTAACAAAGTCCAAAATTAATACATGATACTTGAATTTTAGTGAGATTTGAAGTTCCCTTTTACCAGTAATTGAGATGTTTGAAATACTGGTTACACGATCTGTGAATGTATGCGTGCATGAAGTGAAACCTTTGTCACCCTCCTTAGATCTAGGGGTGGATAGGCTTAAATTTGCAGAGGCTTTTGAGTGTGTTATCATTTTATGTTTTTGAAACCCATTGACAGTCATGGTTCATTTTCATCTTTACCATGTTTATATCTTATTTTATTTGCCATTGCGTTGCATTGTTTTAAAGTACTTTATTCGAACTTACGATTTTGGCAAGACAGTATTTCTTGGGGTTTAATTTTCGCCATTTTGAAAGAAGGAATTAAATTTCAAAATTTTAGTATTTTTAACTTCATATTATTTTTCAAAAATTCTGAACTTTTTAAAATTCCTAGAGAATGTGGAACAACAATTAGCTTTAACTCTCTACTCCCTAAGTTTACAAACACTAAATGGGTGAGGACAGTCATGATAAAACACAAACTGCAGACTACAGACTGCAAACCCTACAGACTGTGCAATTACTTCTACTCCCAAGATCTGATTGTTAATTCTCCCCTGTAGCTGCTACACATTTCCTTGAAAATAAGTTATGAAAACTTGGTGCTAGATCAAGATAGCAGCATCTACCTGATAAGTTTAAATATTCTCATTACCTGTTTGCTGCAGAAGGTATGGATATTGTTGGGAGAAGTTTTATGTTAATCACCTCTGGGAGTTAAAGGGTTAAACAATACTTAAGAAACAATTATTTGCCTGTCAGTGAATGTCAATGAACAATCCCCTTCATCTAAGAACTTATTAACCAGTGTACACTTTGCCTTTGATGACTAATAGTTAGATATAGATAGAATTAGTAGATTTTGTTTCTGCATGAGTACATAATTCATATGAACAGTTTCAACAAATATTATAGGATTACTTTGAATACACAGGAAGGTCCCTTGGAATTATTACTCTAGATAATTGGCAAGAAGCAGACAAACCTTTTAGCAAACTTAAATGGTTAAGTTGGTTGCTTTACCGTTCCAATGTTCAAACAATCTTTGATTGCATTCAAATCACTTTGAAAAGCAGGAATGAATCCTAATGTGAAAGAGAAAAGGGGTTTATTTCTATTGTCATCTGTATTTGCATTTTAATTTTTGTTATTCATGTAAGCAGTGTGTGCACATTAAGGGTGAATGCATCACCCCAACAGGTGATTAAATAGTAGAAACTGATAAAATGAAAAGGAGAGAACTTAATTTCTCCTCTTGGAGTTAATCATTGTTGCCACAGTTCAGGAAGATTCACCTTGAGTAAGGAAAATTTAGATCTTTGAAATAAGTCAGTTAAAAGTGAAATCCCAGCAAAGATGAACTTATTTAATATCTTATTTTGGCCTCTAGGCCTCTTCATATTTGAATAACAATGAACTAATTATCACTGATCACTAATTTGGCTTTTGCAGTGAGAGATTTGATTCAAGTTTGAGTAGTTTGCTTTTTCAAGGGGCAATTTGTAATTGAAATAAAAATTCGTGATTGATTTTGTTCTTTCCAGGAATGTTTGTATTTCACAAGACATAATTTGCATTTGTTGTTTTGAAGTTAATTTTTTTTCAGGATATTAGTGAGCCACCTTGAATTGCAATTGATTTTCACAGTTCACAAGAGAAATGTTAAAAACTTAGTTAGTGCATGGTAGGTGATGTGAGCTTGGTTTCACTTGTAGTCATTTTCTTTCTATGGTTGGTATGGCCATAATTTTCGCTACTGAACCACTGGCTCCTCCTGTAGTCAAAGCGGTATTAAGCAGTTACCCATAGGGAATGGTGGGGTAACTGCTGAATACAGGTTTCAAAAAAGAGGGATAATATAAAACATGATAAAAAAATGCCATCTCATGCCATGGTTGACCACTTAGTGCACAAACACCAGCTCAAAAATACTACTAGTAATTGCTTAGGGTTAACATTAATTTTGGAAGAGAAACATGGATTGAATTTTACTTCTAGAGATTATTCTTATAGTTTCATTTGAGTGGGTCTGCTTTAAGTGACCATCAATGCAAGTGGAAGACAATGCAACCAGGCTGTTGGGATTCAGTAAAGGGTCACCATGACACCTTAATAGAGGTGATCACTTAATACAGGTGAAAATCACAGTGACAAGGAGGAAACAAATTTGCAACTTTGACAACCAATCTCTTAATACAGGGTATTGGCTTAATACTGTTCCACTTAATACAGGTGTGACTGTGCATCTGTTTAAACAGATGACTTTCATTTTACAATTAAAAACAATACCAGTTGAAAAACATGATCATCATCGAGCCTGATTTTAAATTTATATATTTTACTTCCCTTACAGCATTGAATCATGTCACCTTTAGAGTAGAGATTAAGCAGTAACATTTCAATACTTCACCTGCAACAAACATAGAGTAACGTTCAGGCAATGGTACCATTTAACATCAAACTTCGTGAAACTAGAAGCTTTATTTACATATAATGTATTGCTTCTTATATTAACTCTATGGAACGAGACAAAAGATGATGATTGCATGGAAAAATTAGAAATCTTTATTACCTAATCATTATTAGAGGGTGGTGTTCCATGTTGTAAACTTGATGTTTAATGCAGTTCCCTATTTGGAAAGCTTTTAAGGTAATAGAACCAATCTGCATACACATAATATTATATATGAGTATAGACAAAAAAAAAAATTCAATTGTCACTGTAAATATGTTACTCAGCAAGTTTCAATCTGATATCATGATTGGTGGTCAAAGCTGCAGAACAGTGGGAATTTACTCAAAATATTTTAGCACCAAATGAACATTTAATTTTCCCTAACTCTCATTCAATTTTTTTGAAAAACCTGGGAGTGTTTTCTTGTTGTTCTGAATACTCCGTGGTAAGAGTTTCAACAAATTTGTTGAGTTTTAGCTATCTTTTCCCCACCATGCCTAAGATGTTAGAAGGCAGGTGATGCACTGACCCAAAAATATATTATTTCTGTCTGTTGTCTTTCCACTTGAAGTTCATTCGTCAATTTTTTTTAAATCCATCTTCACCAAAAGTGTGGACTGCAAAGCAATTCAAAGTCCAAGAGAGCTTGAAGCAGGGAAAAAAGTACATTGTACAGGGGAGGGACAAGAAGGGAACATCAAGTGAGCTTATGATGGTCAATAGAAAGCATCAATTTTTGTTTTAATGATATAAGGATCTTGACTATTGTTTCCCTCAATCATGTGTTCATGCAGAATTTGCAAGAGTTGATTTTTTAGCGGAAGAAAAGGCTGTGAAATGGATCCCTCCAAAGTGGCTTTGTCACACATCCAGTCCCATCTCTTTTATATTCTGGGGGAAGATAGCTTAACTCAACAAAGTCCTCTTGGGAGCATCAAGTATAAAAAGGTGGTTGTTAAATGGAAGTCAAAAAACTTTTCTGGGAACTGGTTTTTACTGAATGATAAGCGGTAATAAACAACAAACCAGCCCCTTTTTGAATGCCAATACATTTTTGGTGTTTGATGGGTTGCAGTTTCAATGTTACCAAAGAGTAGTAATAGGGAAAATCACAGTTTTAAAAAAAGCAAACAAAAAAATTGCACAGTCTGTAGGGTTTGCAGTCTGTAGTCTGCAGTTTTTGTTTTATCATGACTGTCCTCACCCATTTAGTGTTTGTAAACTTTTACAAACTCAGAGAGAAATATCTTCTTTTTTATATTGTGGTATAAATGTATAATAAAACAATACCTGAATTTGGTTTTTGAATGATATTATAAATTATCAAACCTTGCATCTGTGTTATCAGCCTCATCCTTTGTCTTCAGTTGATAACTCCAACCTCAGCATTCAATTTGATAATTCATAATATCATTCTCAACCTTATCCGATAATTGCTTAGCACCTGTAAATTGGGGCTAATGTGCAACTCAAGTTTCCTGCCATGTGGTGTCATTTGGAAATGGTGGCATCGATTCTCTACAAAATCACTTTGTTTTATTCATTGTCTATAACATATTGAGAATCAAGTGTGTTAATCAAACTATATCCCCTAGTTAATATTTTTCTGTCCTCTCATCAGCCTTCTGCTTATTAACGTATAGATATTGTGAGGAGAAATTTCTATTTTGGTCACTCCTTGGAGTGAAAGGGTTAAAGCTAAATGACCCACAAGTTAGAGGAAGGGGCTTCATTGTCTAGAAAATTTTGCTATTGCAATTGAACCCAGTTTATTTACTGGGTATCTCCTTTACAGCTTGAGAGGTTGGGTCTCCATTCATTGACCCTGGATGTGTGTACCATGAAATAAATAAAACAATTCAACAAATAGATTGGATGTCTGTGTTTCTATTCAAAGATATAGCACAAATGACCTCAATGTGCTAAGAATAGACTGAAAAAGTGGCACTCGAGGTGTGGCACAGTAACTGATGTTCTTGCCACATATGAAGGTCTTCTGTGATCTGCTAACTGCACTGAGGTGCAACAACTTGGAGCCTCTTTTGTTTTATGTCTTACAGAATCACAATTTTGTTAATGGTGTTATCATCTATGTCTAACGAATCCACTAGGTCATTAGTTACACCCAACTGAAATGTGTGTATAACTCAGTTGATTATTTTATTATTATATTGTTTGTCTATATTAATTATTTAATTAGTTGTTGTTACCAGAGGTTTGTGTACCCCCTGTCCACCATATTTAACTTCAAGGTTGTATTATAATGATTGTGACTCAAGACCGTTGCAATTCTTGTGAGCACCCAGTATCCTCAGCCACATTTACAACCACATCAATTGCCAGATATGTCTTCATAGTTAATTAAACTGTATTGAACCTAGTAGAGTTCATGACTAGAGTGAGGATTAATCATTTTAATCATCAAGGTCATGCTTGAAATATTATTCTTAGTAATATTTATATATTTGTGATGTAATATCCACAGACAGTTCAAATCAAAAGGTTATGGCCACCCCTCGTCCAAGGAAGATATTTCTCTGGTTATTTCCTTTGTTCTTATTGGCTACAATCCTGTCTGTGTACATCTTCAGTGACCAATTAACAGGGTATGTTTTGTGTGACATCATTGGAAAAGTGAAACTTATCCATAGATCTGTACCTCTTTACTTTCTAAGAAAACCTTCAGGCAGCTAGGTTTAGTCACTGAGTGTGCAGTTAAAAAAATGCATTTCTAGATCTCTCCCTTCTAAGTCTGGTCACTTTTACTCCTGTTGGGAATAAGATATCCTTCGTTTAAGAATTATCACTGTTCAAAAAGTTCTTGAAGGGGTGCTTTCAAACATGAAAAACTGACTTGGTAATCTGAGGTAAGGCTTTGCACCAATAGCCTTGGTGTAATGGCTGAAATTAGCAGTAAAAGCTCACTTTATTAAGTTTTTGAAACTATTGTGGTAGGTGCTTGTGTGTGTTCCCTGCAGAATGTGGAAATTGTTTTTAGTTTGTGAACTTTTGGGTATTGTTTTGTCATATGTAAATGGAATGAGAGATCTTACTTTTTCCCCACAGATTTAAACATTCTGTTTCATGCAATGCTTACAACTTTGAGTTCCGGAGGGGCCTTGCAGAGGATCTGAGAGAAATCCAACAAAAAGTAAGGAAGTCATTCCTGCATAAAGAAGCACCCTCGCCAAAACTACTTTTACAGTTGGAAGAAATTGTGAAACGGCTTGATCCTGAAGTAGATCTGGCAAGTGTGTTCACTCAGAAGGGTACTGATACTGACAGCTTGGATGTATGTCCAGAGGTATATAATGGGACAAAGTTTGGTTACCCCTTCTATGAAAAGGGTTGGGAATTAATCAACTGTACCAATGTAAAACCTCTTCGCTCTGTTGTTAGTGTCCTGGTCAACACTATTGCATATCCCAAGCAAGATGAGAACTATGTTGAAACTGTTATAAAAGGCATAACAGAGACTTACCCAACAGTTCAGGTTTATTTGGCAACAGGAAGTGTCAATGTAATGAAAGCTGCCCAAAATTATAAAAATGTTGATGTTGTTCTGGTTGATAAAGCTCAAGTAGCTAAGGGATGGAACATTCTGGTAGGGAAAGCCTCTACTCCTTATGTGCTGGTTGCACGTGATGTGTTTCACTTCACATGGCTAACACAACTTGAGAGGCAGATTCGTGTTATCAGTCAGATACCATATGTTGAAGTTGCTGGTGGATCATACCGTAACTTCTCTGGTCACTGGAAAGCAGGATGTGTCCAAACTACAATGAAGAACTATGTGTTAAAGTACCAAGAGGGATACTTGCACTCAAAGAATGGGTGCATGTTATGTGATTATCTTCAGGGACCTTTTGTAACCAAAACAAGTCTGTTCAAGCTTGATGAGAAGCTTCCAATTCAAGTTGTGTTTGAAGACTGGTTTTCAAGTATTATTAAAAAAGGCAGCTTAGTCATGTCATGCCCAGATGCTATGTATTTTACAACAGACTACTGGTCATATTCTAAAATAACTGATAGAAATGTGTGGACACCATTGGCTAAAAAGTGGGAACTCAATCAAGTTTTATTGCCGGGAGGGGTAAAGCATTCCTTCTCTTGTGAAGATATAGGTGTTACATGCAAAGCCAAAAGTGAACTTCTCCCTTTGTGTTGCCTTCAAGAGTATGCTTATGCTTTAGCGTTTTTTCAGAAATTTGCTGAAGCTCACAATTTCACTTTTGAACTTGATACTGGTTCTGCACTGGGTGGTGTTAAGTTTGAGGGTGTGCTTCCTTATGACCTGGATGGAGATTTTATTATCTCGACTTCTGGTATTGACATCCTTGGAAAAACTGAAACAGTTGATTATTTCCAGAAAAATGGATACACTTTGGCAGATTATGAACCCAAAAAAGGGTACGCTAGACTTTTTTTCAAGAAGTTTTATTTTGAGATATGGAGAATGGGGGATATGTCAAATAAAAGATATCTCCCACCAGAGCTACAGAAACAAGAAACTTACACAAAAGCCAACATTGGTGGTTATTGGATAAATACAGCATTTAGTCCTGGTTTGTTCTCTAGGAATCGATATGGAAGAGAAATCCTCAAACACTCTCAATCTTGGATCAAGCTGGGCTTATCACACAGCTTTATTGAATACAGTCCTGGAGGCTTTGAGCTTTGTAAAAAGCCAGAGCATCATGCATGCATACACAATTTCCCTGCTGACGGCAACATTCCATTTATGGTAAATTAGACATGTGTAATGGTGCACAAAACTCATGAACAGTAAGACTGTAAGATGTGATGTATTATTGCCATTTTAATGTGTCCGGAGTAGTAGTGGATAATTGACCATGGATGGACCTTTATCCCGTCTATGGGTTGTGGTAACATCCTGTTGCTTCATACTACTGAAGTAAGCTAAAACCTACGTCGAATTCTGTCACTTGCTGTTCAGGTGGTTTAATTTTCACTTTTGAGTTGGTTTTGCTTCAGATATTGTCATAAGTTGTCTGCCTTCGACTTCGTTAAGCGGACAGGGATGCAGATCAAGAAAAAATCTGAATAGTGGACTGAGGAGTAGTGGTTGAGCTTAGTTGTGTTAAGTATGTCACAACTTTCCCCTCTAATAGGATAAGACTTTAATTAAAAACAAATGCTAACAGAAAAAAACAACAACAACAACAGCGCAAATCAGTAAGGTCACGAGGAATGTCAGCGTAGAATCTATTGGATCTAGCTAACTAACGACTGGGAACTTATTCTCACGAAAGGGAGGAAAGTTAAAGAATAAAAACGAATGAATAGGTGACAAGACACTCATGATTTTCTTCTTAACAAATTAATAAATCATTCAAACCGTGAACATTTCCTTAGTTACTCTTCGCGTTCTTGAGAGCTGCCAGGCTTTTCGAGGCCAGATTATTGACCCGAATAACTGCACAGAAAACCTTTAAGATGCCATGGCAATTCAAACGTGTAGCAACACTATAACCCATGGTTCAAGAGTTCAATTTACTATTAAGTAGAGAACAGCACATTGTTCAGTAACAATGGAGAGCGCACATATCATGTGCAACAAAGTGGTCAAACGTCAGGCATGATGCGCAAGGCGATATTAATTTGGCTGCCCGTGTGTCAATTTCGCGCAAAATTTTAAGGAAGCTCCATAGGGTTTTTTGACCGTTCGAGGTCTGGGTGTGAACATAGCGCAAGCTTCAAGTGTCAGTTTGAAAAACAAACATAGCCGCTCAGTACGAAAACACAAAATTGCAAATAGCGAGGAAACTGCCTTTGTAACCCCTATTTTCCTCGGCAACATTGTGAAAATTTTGAGATATTTCCCGGAAGCAAATTGAAAAATATTTAAGGCAAAGCCAAATTATCACTGGCGTGCGCCTCTTTCGTGGAGCCTAAGCTTAATAGCGAAAATAAATGGTCTGAACCTTGCTCATCGCCCCTTTGATAGCTTTTAATGACCTATGACACCTTAATTTAAAAAAATAAATAACAATCCCAACACCAGGGTAGTCCCATCAGAACGTAAGGCTCTGCTATCAATAGGAGCCCTGGTGAATAGGATCCTAAAATAAATACAATGCATAGTACAAAAATAATTATAAATGGTACTACTAATAATAATAACGGCGGCAAGAATAATATATATGCTATCTAAATATCGAACAATACTATAAAAATCTATATATATACAATGGTATAAAAATCTATAAATACACACAAAATAAGGATCTAGTCAATATAAAATATTATGGAAAATTCTAATTAATTTGACTATTATAAACAACACATCCATGATGATAAAAAGATTTCTTGGCTGTTTCATTTCAAACGCGAGGCAAATGAAGTAAATTTCTCTGTCTTGTTCTGGTATTATTAAAATTGAAATATTGCTAAAAAAATTGAGGACAGTTACCAGAAATGCATTTATTAACTAATTTAAAAGTACGTTCGTCTCTTCTCGACTGTAACTCAGGCCATTTAAGATCTATTAAAGCTTTGTCACTATCCGTAGATCTCGAAACAATTTTGAATGCCCTCCTTTGAAAATTATCCAGCAGTCTGGCATTGCCCACTCCACAACAGTTCCATACAGTGTCGCCATAGTCAAAAATTGGATGGATAAATGATAGATATAAAGTGTTGGCAGCATGACAAGTTAAATCTCTTCGTAATCGAGATAGCATACCTAATCTTTTGCCAGCTTTAGATAAAATGTACTGAATGTGGGGAGCCCAAGAAATAGTCTCATCAAATATATTACCAAGATAAGTGAACATATTTACCCGTTTTAAACTTTGTCCATGAAAAGTAATATCAAAGTATATTAAAGTTCACACGGCAACCAGGTGGACAATCAGACATAGTTTGAT